ATGCACCACCATGCCCAGCTAATTTTTTGTATTTTTAGTAGAGACGGGGTTTCACCATGTTGACCAGGATGGTCTCGATCTCTTGACCTCGTGATCCACCCGCCTCGGCCTCCCAACGTGCTGGGATTACAGGCTTGAGCCACCACGCCCGGCCAAATATTTTCATTTTATAGATAGAGACACAACTTAGAGAGGTTAAGCGGCTATTAGAGTTTCTATGTTCCCGGGAAACAGGGTTTACAAATTGCCTACCGCTTTGTATATAGCAGACATTCCATAAATAGTTGAATAAGTTTTTCCAAAGTGAATAAATAGAACACGATTCTTCTTAATACTTTGAGCCTTTTAACCCATTAGCCTTTTTGTTAGCGTTTTATCTAATGGAAAAACAGAATGCTTTTCACATATTTTGCTTGTACCCACTTTCCAAGGGAAGAAGCAGCAGAGGTCACTACAGTGTCACATTAACTCTGCAGTGACTTTGAATCACTTTCCTAATTTTATCTTATGTATTTGTTTTTGGAGACAGGGTCTCACTGTCACCCAGGCTGGAGTGCAGTGGTACAATCACAGCTCATTGCAGCCTCAACCTCAAGGGCTCAAGTGATTTTTCCACCTCAGCCTCCTGAGTAGCTGGGACTACAGGCACATGCCACCATGCTCAGCTAATGTTCTTTTTTCTTTTTTTGTGGAAACAAGATCTGGCTATGTTACCCAGGCTGGTCTTGAACTCCTGGCCTCAAGCAATCCTTCTACCTTGGTCTGCCAAAGTGCTGGGATTACAGCTATAAGCCACTGCATCTGACCTTTCCTAATTTTAGAAACAAGTTAACTGAGGCTTAGTCAGAATTCAGTGGTCTTTTGATCTTTTCATCACACCAAGTTGAGCCAGAGGAATGATCAAAGGCATGCATCAAGAAGGATCAACTAAAATTATGACAAAAAGAGAGGGATTCTGGATAACTGGAATCATTGTTAAAGAATGACCAAGTCAGCTCTATTGAGTATGGTACTCAGCATATTCCTGGAGTGCCCATTATGCTCTGTGTTAGGCTTTTGGGGAGATGAGACCAAATCCTGATCTTCAAGAACCTTATGGGCTAGACTGTAATCCCATAAGTGGCTCATGCCTGTAATCCCAGTACTTTGGGAGGACGAGGCAGGCAGATCACCTGAGATCAGGAGTTTGAGACCAGCCTGGCCAACATGGTGAAACCCCAACTCTACTAAAAATATATAAATTAGCTGGGCGTGGTGGCGGGCGCCTGTAATCCCAGCTACTTGTGAGGCTGAAGCAGGAGAATTGGTTGAACCTGGGTTGCAGAGGTTGCAGTGAGACGAGATCACGCCACTGCACTCCAGCCTGGGTGACAAGAGAAAGACTCCATCTCAT